CGCCCTCATATCTAATATAAGGGCGGATGGCTAGCTATTCCTACTACCTCCTACCCGGAGTACTGTCCGTACTAAGGTAACTTCATAGGCCCTTATCTAATAATAGTAAGATACTTAGTACACGCCCTTATATCTAATACTAGTAGTGGAGAGAAGAGGTGAATTTAATATTATAGGCTAGATACTTAAGGAGCTAAGATAGCTAGAATAAATATTTATAATTTTATGAAGAGTTAAAGTTAAGCTTCTACTATTAAAGTTATATATCTACCCCCCAAAGCTAACATTGGGTCTGAGGTCCCAGCTAGTCCTAGGCCGAGACAAGACCTCTAGGGCGTAGCCCATCATACTAGAGGCCTAAATGGATAAGCCTATATAAGTCCGCGATATAGCGGATCTTACGCCCACTATAGAATAACCCCTAGGAGGGTAGAGTAGGGGGGTATATAATGGGCTACGCCCTAGAGGTCTTATCTTAGCCTAGGACTAGCTAGGACCTTAGACCTAATGTTAGCTTCGGGGGGTAGATATATAACTTCGGTAGTAGAAGCTTAACTTCAACTCTTTATAAATTTATAAATATTCATTCTGGCTATCTTAGCTCCTTAAGCATCTAGCCCATAATAGTAAGTAGTATATGCTCTCTAATAATACCTATGTAGAGTCTAAGGCTAAGGAGGAGGAGAAGAAGAAGAGTAAACGCTATAGCTATAAGGCTTATATAGAGGAGTAGGCACGCGTTATATATAATAGGTATAATAAGAAGTACTATACCTACTATACCGCTACCGCCTAGAAGTAATTATATTTATATATTATGTAGTATAATGCTAAAGTATACTATACTATAACCCTATAGTCCTAGAAATGATTGTGTCTGCGCTCATTACGTTGTCAAGGTCCTAGAAATATAATGATTAGAGCCTATAGTAGGTCCCTTATAGTCCCAGAAATATAGTGGTTGGAGTACGCGGACCTCTAGTAGTCCTAAAATATAGTGGTCTCTGCACGAGCACGCAGGCAAGTTATAATGTAATATGGCTACGATATAGGTCAATATACAACCGCTGACGCATTAATGCAGCTAAGAACATTAAGTGGGTTGATGGCGATGATGGGGCATAGCGTCCACAGTCGAGTATAATCTACGAGTTGGTCAAGTATAATTTACCGGGTCGCGTGACGTGACGTGAAAAGTCGGTGGGGTGCGTAGCTCGCTTGCTGGATACGTTATTGAATAATGCAAGGGAGCCTTATGCAGAATGGGACGCAAGTGACGCAAGTCCCCAGAAGGTCTTAGACATGTTTGCCTTGTCTCAGCTCCTTAATTCTGGACTCTGGTTATACGCGGCGATAAGCGATCAACCAAAGTCTGGACTCTGAGTGAGTCCTCAGGCTTATGCCGTCGTCACCGCGTAAGCTCCAGTTTCGGCGACCGAGATAAATTTCCCGTCCCTTTCTTCAATCGTTAGTGATTAACGAAATGGATGGGGCATGAAAAGCCTAGGCAGAACCTTTGACCGTGAGCTCTTGTGCCCACTTCTCGGCCTCGACCGACATGTCGGGATCATACAACCAACGAAGCTCACCACCCTCTCCACGCATTAATGAAGAGTCGGTCCAAATGGCATTCGGAGGTAGCTTGGCCTTTTCTGCCTCAGGTAGTCGCTTTGCGTTCATTTGCTGCGTCAAGTCAAGTATCTTTCGGATGCGCTCCTGGCGATATGATTGCCACAACGCCGCAGCTTCCTCCAGATGCACCGCTGGCGACGGCTTGGAGAGAAGGGATGCTAGGGAGCAGGCATCCTCAATTGCCTGATTATCGCCTTGACTAACCGTAGGCCGTATGGCGTGTGCTACATCGCCGATGTAGATAACGCGCTTTGATTCGGAAAGCCACGATGATAATGGAGCAAGGCCGTAAAAGGCCCAAAATCCCATTATATCCGGTGGTATAGCCTCCAGGGCCGATTGCACGATATCCGGCCAATCAGTCTGATTTTTATGTATCGTGTTGTAAAGCTTATGTTTGTCTTTGCGAAGAGAGTTTTAATTATCTAACTCTGGGAGCAGTCGCTGCGCCCCGATATAGATCTCAGAGCCATCTGGTTCTTTGGTTCTTGTGGGATAAGCAAGAAGCCCCCCGGCTTGCCCATAGCGATTGCTGGTAAGCCGTAATTGTCGGGAATGCGAAGCTGTGATCGCTGCACGACGCAGCTGATGCCCAGGATGCCTGCATACGTGGGGTGTGCCTCCGGCAAGCAGGTCGAGCGCACCGTAGAATGAATGCCGTTAGCACTAATTAAGAGCGAAGCGGAAGCTCTTTAGCCGTTCGTTAAGGTGAACTCGACCTTGGTATCAAGGTCCGGCCTATCATAGTCAACAGTGGCCATGGCGCTGTCGAAAAACACTGGAATATTGCGCTCCCGCAGCATCACCAATAGCTTATCTAGCAGTTCTTTGCGCATCATACGCATAGCCGGGTATCCGTAGATGGTCCTTGAGCCGAAGTAATATATGTCTGTAGTCTCATTCTTGGCATTCTTGAAATATAGCTTATCAAAGTGCAGTGCTTTGTCGAGCAAACGCTTATACGCGCCAAGACTGTCGAGAGCGCGTAAGGCGTTGGGGGAAAGCATGAGCCCACCGCCGGGGTTGTAGTACCTAGAGCGTGCTTCATAGATTATAGATGGTATGTGGAGGCGATGCAAAGCAAGGGCAAGGGTGTAGCCCTGACCAGTAGCGTTAACGTCTGTCGGATGCATCATTTACGGCCAAACCTCCTCCAATAATGGCCACCTCAGCAGGAGGGCCCGAAACAGTCATGATGTAGAGAGGGAATGTGACACAGGCGAGGCAAGGAATTGTAAGTAGAGGTGACTATTCTCGTGAGCTGCAGTTTGGTAATCAATACATGTCAAGCTTACAATGGCATGATTTGGATTCTGTGGATAGAAAGGCGGTAGTCCAGTATCGCTTTATCTTATACTGTTTTGCTAGTCGTTTCATATCATCCCGGTGGTCTGAGTTGCGTACAATGTCGGCAGGTCAAGCAGGCTAGGCAGAAAAAAAAGGCATCAGATCCGAACACAGAGCGGTCCAGGGATATCTATTGAGCGACCAGATTGCCGGGAGAGGGAACTTATAACTTTGAAATTTGGGCCCCAGTCCGTGGTTCTGTCATCCGAGCTGCCCCGCTTTCAAGATCCGAACCGTGTTGCCCGACCTCATCTACCGAAGGTTACACAGATCCGAACCCTGTCGTCCAAACTCGCCGAATGTCCCACTTGTGAGGTACGCCGATGGCCAACGTAGCACTTGGATATGGTAACTTTAGAATATTGGTCCGATCCTCTCTAGTGTTACTTCGGCAAGGCGTGCGTACCTGGGTAGATGGATGGAGAATAGTATTTCGGCGCAGGCACCAATTAGCGTCTTCTTGTACCCCTATTATTAATGCTCAGCCGCACCATGGTAAGCGTGGCCTGATCTGGCTGACCACCCTCTTGGATTTACGGAATCGATTCGCCAGATGCAAGGAGATTGTACATCGGGTGAATTATGGAACCATATGCTACCCGGCTACGGTTTGTTAATTTACATCCAATATGAACGGCCCACCTTCCACCAATTCGATGGGGAGTTGTGGAAATGCTTATCTCGCTCACTTATGAAACCACACTGGACGGATATCGCTGGGATCATTGAATTTCGTTCCTCTCCCATCTATTGGACGTTCTTTGTGCTTCGCATGTTTCTGTACGCGTCTGCATGGGTTCTTAGATTCTTTAACTACATCAACCATGAGTGGCACAGTATCACCAACGCTGGGTAGCGTAACACCAGTTGCTCATCATAATCCATTGATGGTACCTCCCCCAGGAGGCTGGATCGACCCTTCTAGAGCTACTATGCACTATAGGGCCGTTATACTGGTTGCACCCATCACGGCGTTCTACATTTTAGATCTTTTGGTACTTCTCCTCAGAGCCTGGTCAAGATATATCAAGAAGTCTTCATGGCGGCTGTCTGACTACTTCATCTTCATTGCTTCCATCTTTGGAACTGGCTATATCGCAATTTGCTGGCTAGGTAGGGCTCCATAACGGCTCAGAAAGGGAAAGCTTTTGTTCTTGCGGTATTGACTTCCTCACCCAGTTGCCGAGCGTGCCGGTATCGGCTACCCTATCATTCAAGTTGCACCCCATGAGCGTCTACTCATTCGAAAGGTAAGCTAATTCATTCACTTCATCTCTGTTCGAACTACTTTAAATGTTTTATAGGCATTTTTTGCGGCCTGGCTCCTGCAATCCTGGGCCAACTCATTTATTCGACTCTCCATCCTTGATTTCCTCCTGCAAGTCTTCGCTCCCGAGGAGAAGTTCTGCCTTGCCATCAACTTCTTTCAAGCGGCGACTTCGGCCTACCTGATTGCCTGCACAATCGCCTGGCTCGCAACCTGCCGTCCTTTCAGGTACAACTGGGAGCTTGGTCCAGACGTGCCTCGGCACTGTGGCAACCTTCAGCTCAAATTTTTTCTCAGCGCCATTTTTAACCTCGTACTCGATGTCGGCATTCTCATTCTCCCAATGCCTATGCTTTGGACTTTGCAGATAAACACACGCAAGAAGATTACCATCAGCCTCATTTTTGGATTAGGTAGTTTGTAAGTGCTCTAGGCGTGAATATCTTGTTTGCTTGGTGATCTAATATATTTCAGTGTCTGCTTCGCTACAGCATGGCGAACATACCACGTGGTTAAGTTTTCCAAGCCCCACAACCAGATAAACTTCACCATGGGCGTTGTCGAAGACGCTTTGTGGTCCGGGCTTGAAATAACTCTTGGAATTATCAATGCATGTTTACCTGCCATGCAACCCGCAGTCCAGCACCTCGTCCGTGGCCCCTACCAGCAACTCCTTGAATTTTCCACGAGTCGCTTCTCCAAACGTTCCAAGTCGTCTACGGGCTATAGCAGCACATCAGGCCACTCGCGCTTCACACCCTGGGCACGAATCAGCGGATCAGAGAATGGGTTAAAGACTGGCATCGAGCGCGAAGTGGGGTATTCGGTCGACTCAGAGTCAAATTCTAGTGATCGCATTCCTATGGAGAACGTCGGATCCACGACACAGCTAGCCACCCAAGTCTCCGTAACTTACCATGACCCCTTAACAAACAAGTACCGCCGCAGCAACAATCCTTAGCTGGTGCTGCTCGCTTGATCAGTAAAGATTGGACGGCTAGCTTGAACAGGATCCAAGGAGATAGACGAAGCTACGGAAAAAAAGTTACGTATTTTGGAGATGATTATTGACGAAAGTTCAACGTATTATTTCATCACCACGTTCAAATATGATGTATAGTGAGCAAGTAAATGAAGATTTTAGGACCAATAAGCTCGTTGTTTTCACAGAGTGACCAGCGCGTACGTCTTTCATTCATCATTATCTACAATACACATCTGAATCTTGTCCATATCCAAGAACGTCTTGTCATGGGCTTCGAGCCTTTCTGTGTTCTCCGGAGTCCCTGTAATTGCCCTGAGATTCAAGAATGCCGCCTTGTCTTTGAACTCCGGATATCCGATACCATCGTACTTGGCGTCCTTCGGGCCTTTGGCTGTTTCGGATAGTGGTGGCAGTGCGTTTGAGGGTAGGCATCGCCGGCAATCTCTTTCAGCAGGTTGAGGTGGTGAACGTCCCATTGCTCCTTGAATTCCTCGAGTGATATGCCGGGGGCCTTGACAGCGAGTAGATAGACCCTAAAAACCATTATGTTGATGTGGTGTCGGCAATGTTGACTATTGTAGAGAGAGGTCCGTTTTCGCTGTGCGAGATCTTTTATAGGGACACGGCGTTCGCGGTTGCGAAACGAAAAGCCCAAAAGATGAGTGCCTCGTATTAGAGCAAGGGATAGAACTACTTTCGGCTAAACTAAGCCATCGTTCATGCTAAAGAAATAGCTTGTGATCAATTGGCAGATGGTGCGGCGAGAGCGCCACACAATCAGCTCAGATTGAGACCAGGTGTCGTTCGCACTAATGGAGGAAGGTGATCACGGGCTCGGGCACGTGTAACCGACTCGCCGATGTCAAAGCGCGCCGATGCCGAGGATGTCGGCTACTGGTATTAAACCCTTTCGGTCGGTGATAGAGCGTAGCCTCGTCTTCGGCTATGCGGTACTTTCTGTCGGGGCGGAGCCACATGATCGATCTTGAGCATAGTTCTACAATGATTTAGTGCATTACATACAATAGCGACGGGCTCTGACATCGCGCAAGTCAACAACTTCCTAACACCCGTCATCGAACAACGGCAACGACAAACCATGGCTGAAAAGTCTGACTCGCACGAAGTCCACCAGCCGTAAGACTTCCTCTAATGGCTGTCCGAGTCTTCCTCAGAGCGAGAGAAACGACCCGAAGAAATCACCCAAAAGATCTTCTTTCTCATCGTCGCCGCAATATACACAAGCGCCATCGCAGCGATCCAGACCTAATACAAGCCCTACGCGAAGAAGCAGTCAGAGAACTCAGTGACCACGGCTGGACCCATACCTCAATAGACAGTCAGGTCTTGGAGGAAATCCGCTCTCCGCGTTTTGTGCTCTGGTGTTAATATCGTAGAGGCCATTGTGCAGAAGCAGGTGGAAGAGACAGGAGAATAGCATGTAACAAGAGAAGCAGTAGCAGAAGGATGAAATACCTATAAAAAGGAAGAAAGGGAAAGATATAGATGCATAGAGGAAGTTAGAGGGTGTTGATGTGTTGATGGGGGTGGCCCCTACGACGCCCAGGCCCCTCCGCATCCGTTTCGGGCTAGAAACAGGGGGTAAATGGGGTTTTTCGAGGGCGCACGTGCCGACGCAGGACGAGAAAACCAGAGATGGGCGGATGGGGTTATGGCATAACTGTCAGGCATTACTATTGACTCAAGTGTGTATGCGAGCAGAATTCATAAAGAAACTTTATTTATGCTATATGAGAATGAAAGTCTATCCAACATCCCATTAAGGAAGAGTGAAACCAAATCCAAAATGAAAGTCTTACAGTCTGAGTGCCTCAATTTCCAAATCAAAAAACTCTCCATCCGATAAATCGTCCACCTTATCGTTGAACTCCCTCAACTCCTTTTTAAGCTCGTTATAGCCTGTTTCTGCAGAAATACTCTCCAGTGCCTTGAGCATTGTAGCCTCCACTCTCGCGATCTCCGTCTTAGAGATTTGAGTGTTGTCATATTCCAACCTTAATACTACGCAGTCATCTGCAATTGCCGTAAATTCGACCAAAAGAAGGAATTTAGAGCCATTTGCGCACGCTATAAGCGGCTTCAGACCTTCCATGGAGAGCTTGGGTGAGCCGCGGTCATCATGGAATGTTACCATAATGTCAAGGAGGGCGTGGTTGGGGAAGTTATGTTGGGTTTCGCCCACGCAAGCCAGGAGCTGGATCCATGGAATCGCGTTGGCAATGGCAGATTGACTGCACTTCTGAACATCTTGGATGAAGGTGGAAGCAGAATCTTCCGAATGAGTAATTCGAATTGGCAGAGGTTCGAGGAAAAGTCCAACGGTTTCCAGATCCTCAGCTTGTCTGTTGAAATAAGGAGCGCCCAAGACAATGTCAGTGCTGTTGCTCTCTCGTTGTAAGGCCAAGGAAACAGAAGCAAGAGCCATTTGATGGAGAGTTGTCTTCGTAGTTGTGGAGTACTGGAATACTTGCTGAGCCAAAGATTTCGGTAAGTGAGTATATCGAGTTAAACCATCGTAACTGGTTCGCTTTGGCAGATGAGAAAGGTTATGCGGCACAGTATTACACCCTTGAAGGTATTCCTGCCACCATTGCAGTTGTGAGGCAGTTGCGGGTCTGTTCCAGGTCACTACGTCGGCATATTTCCTCTGAAGCTTGGGAAGACCACATCCATCATAGAACTGGACGACTTCTTTGAGCACCACTTGTAGTGTTGTCAAGTCGGCAATGATATGGCTCATACAGACCAGCATGGTGTCATGGGAAATAAAAATGCGGATAGGACACTCTCGCTGAAGATTGAACGGACGATTAACTTCTTCCGAGAGATAGAAGTGATCAACTTGCTCCACCTGTGGAGCGTATCGTGCGTAAGATCTCCTCACTCTTTCCGGGAGCGATTCATCTCGATGGTAGTTGCTGCGGAATATCTGATGGCGAGCCAGGACAGCGTTCCAAGATGTTGTCAAGTGGTCAATGTCGACAAGCTCAGGGTTCAACTTTGTGGCAAAAGTAACATTGAAGGCCGAGCAGCCTTGCTTGATTTCATACTTTTCAAACCATTCAGCTTCTATTGGAGAAACTCTAAAAGCCCCAAGGCGCTCTGACTTTGGTGATGGGTCGGCGATATTTGAACGAGAGCGAAATTGGTCGACTTTTGCAGCCATCTCAGCAAGGTTTGCGCATTGAATTACCTTTGCCATCGGAATTTCGATCTTGAAGACGCTGCAGAGCCTTCCTGTAAGACGAATTTGGAGAACCGAGTGACCTCCAAGTTCTGCGAAGTTCGATGTTTTAGTGAACTCCTCTGTGGGTGCCAATGCCAACAGCTCTCGCCAAACTTGCGCGACCAACTTCTCAGTGGGCAAAAGTGGGTTTGAATTGGTAGAACTCGACACCGCGACGCCACTTCGAGCCGCGATCTCCTTGTAGTCGAGCTTTCCGGCTGGCGTCATTGGAAACTTGGAAACAGCCGTTATCATTCGTGGGACTGAAATGAATGTTAGCAAATATCAAACTCAGAAGGTAGACGGTTCACTTACTTGCATGTGTTGGAAGCACTCTCGAGATTCTGGTGCGAACGTCCGCAATATTAAGCATCTCTGGTTGCATCATCGCAACCAGATAGTCCTCTTTCTGGCAAATGGCCACTGCAGTAGATTCTTTGATGGCTTGAGCAACACGCATTTCAATATCGTTCAAGTCGGTGCGATACCCGCGCAGCTTGATTTGCCGATCATTTCGCCCAAGACACTCAACTTCGCCTGCGTGGTTGAAGAAGCCACGATCACCTGTTCGATACATCATCTCACCGGTTCTCCCAGGGTAAATGGTATCCGGCAAAAACTTCTCCGCCGTTAGATCAGGCCGACCCATGTAGCCTCGCGCGACCTGAACACCAGCGCAATAGATCTCTCCGATGACGCCTGGGGGTGCCAATTGTTGATTGCGGTCAAGAATGTAGACCCGAGTGGTTGGGTTGGGAGGCCCAATAGTGACGTGCAAGCCTGGGCGAAGACGTTGGATAGTCGCCCCGCAAGTGGCCTCAGTTGGTCCATACATGTTGTACATGTTAGTGGCTGCGGACCAGATGTCGTTAACGTATTGTGGCACAGGCTCACCCACAACGTAAACCGTTTTCAGTTCGGGGAAATCCTCGGGATCGAGGACTTTAGCAACCGAAGGCGTTAAAGTGGCTGCGTTGGACCTTCTCAGTGCCGCAAAAGGATCAGCACCATAATTTAACACGAGAGTTGCACCGTATGATAGAGCAGAAAATATCTCGTGGATACTGCCGTCAAATGCCGGGGACATCACTTGAGCAATCTTTTGCCCAGGAGCAGCAAATAGGCGGACCTCAAGATCCCTTTGAAATGCTACCAAACCGGCGTGGTGGCACATGACTCCCTTCGGCTTCCCCGTAGACCCAGAGGTGAAGCAAAGGTAGGCATTATCATCCTGGCGTGGTGCTGGTCGGTGAGCCACTGGCTCGACTTCTGTCTCAAGAAGCTCGTCGACTGATAGGCAGAGTTGACAAACTTCCGGCTTGACGGTCTTGTCCGCCTCACCTGGGACGAGAAAGATATTAGCTCCAGCAGTTTCAAAGTTCATGCTACGGATATGGGCACGTAATGCAGAATCTTGAGCAGAGTAGACGCCGCCGGCTCTCAGGACACCATACATTGCGACGATCCAATTGATTGAACGATCGGCGTGGACGCAAACAACCTCTCCTGGTGCAATGTGTTTCTTTAGTGCGCTGGCAACCATACCGGATCGTTCTGCCAACTGGAGGTAGGTCAAAGAAAGATCGCCCTTTTCTACGGCAATCGCATCGGGATTTTCCCTGGCTGCCTTCTCGAAGAGTGTGACGAGGTCATCTTTTATCGAGCTCAAAGAAGTGTCCTCTGTATTGCAATTGCCGAACCGCATCAACGTTTCTTTGCTTCCCTTTGTCAACAATCGAGACATGAGGTCGCCCATACATGTCGTCTTCTTTTTTGATAGCAGAAGAATGGCGCGTCGATAGTGATCAGCCAGCAACTCCATATCTTGCTTACTGTACTTTGAAGGCTTAAAGCAGAGGCGGAGGGTCCCTTTTGCGCTGAGATACACCGATAGAGGCATATCCGGAATGACCCTGAACCAGGAGGTGCCAACGGGCTTCACATGATGCTCATCGGAAGCTTCCATATCAAATTCCATAGCCAGAGCTGAGGAGAAAGAACGGGTGTACCCGTCCTCAGGGGACGAAAACTGGACGTTCTGCAGAGCTACTGAGTGCGCGAAAACCAACTGCAGGAAATCTGTCACGGTCTGCGTCGGATCGATCGTTACGTGGAAAGGTAGGGTGTTAATGAGGGGACCAATTGTGTCGTCTGCACCAGCGAGGGGGAGATTTCTTCCCGAGAGGACTGTGCCAAAAACAACGGACGATGAGTCGCTGTAAAGAGACAAAGCCATTGCCCAAGCAGCTTGATACCATCCTGCGAGAGAAACGCCTGCGTTTCGGGCTGCGGCTGAGATTCTATTGATTGGTATGACAAACGAGACGTTCTCGATTGCGGCAGCTGAAGCGGGGACCTTTGGTTCTTTCAGTGCAAGTTCTCCTACTGGCTGAGGATGTTTTTCTATTTGATGTCTCCAAAAAGCTTGATTGCTCTCCCTGCTGGCATGCTGAAGGGACTGAACGCCCTTACTGACGCTATTGAAATCGGCTCCTGATGTGGGCCGATGTCCCATCAAACACATGCGGGCCTTTTCATACACCAGCTGGGCAGACATTCCATCGATGTAGGCATGATGAACACGCCAGACAATGGTGCTGGTTGAGGAAATAGGGTTCGTAATGCAATCGAAGGAACATTCAATGTGGCTTGGAGCCTTATCTTTGACTAGTTCCGCCTGATAGTGTTCATGCGAATCGCAGACAATGTCATTCCACTTGAACGGTGACAGAGAGGCTCCTTGACTTTGATCGGTCTCTGCTCCAAAGCTCATTCGGAAGATCGGCTCGGATTCAATCACAGCTTTCCATGCTGCCTTCATCGCGGGTATGTCGCATATTTTGTAGGTCTCATAAAAGTTGATGATGTTCGACCCAGGGTTCTTGATGTAGCTCTGCAAAAAGGAGAGCTGCATTTCCGTCATGTGGGGCGATCCCGAAGGTGAATCTGGAGGGCTGAGCTCTTGGATACGCATATTGAACATATCACCTTGCCGCGAGCCTCTGCGTCTGGTGGGTGAGCATGGCACCTGCAGCTCCTGGATTGATTTGCGTCTCAGTGTTGGAGACGTTGAGGCCAAGTGGACGGAAGATCTCCGACGAGCTGTGGGAGAAGCTGCGACTGGCGCGAGAAATGATGCCGAAGAGCATATTTCGATAATGGAACTGCTCAGAAGGATGTTGGCGATAGTAAGCTTGACTCCGTCCTTTTTGCAGAGGGCAGCGAGCTTTACGGCGAGCAAGGAATGTCCGCCAAGACCTATAAAGCTGGCTTGGGTGTCGATTGATTGAACAGGAAAGCCGACAAGCCGAGCGACATGACTCACGACTACATCTGCGATTGACACTGCTGGAGTGGAAATATAGGATGGTGTCTGGATGGAAAGACGTCGCAAGGAGCGAACAGGGTTTGGAGTGTCAGATGCACGTCGTGACATTTTGTCAGCTCCAGAAAATGATCGGTGATTTTTGCTTGATGATCGAAATTGGACAAATGAATTTGAGCTTCTTCTTCTTCTTCTTGGTAGTCGAGGTTGTGTTGGGGGTGTTGTGGTGGGATGATGATAAGGCCAATGTACGGCGACACCTTTTGTATAAGCATCATCCTATGGAAGAAGCTTCACATCTTGCATTTCACAATCTGATCGCCTATTTGCCTGCTCCATCGGAGAGCTGATGTGCGTAAAGCTTAGACTGCTTAGATGGTCAGTGTTGCGCAAAGGTTAGCTGGACGGATGCGACGCACAGGTCGATACGGTGCACAGATAGGCTTCAACGTTTCAAGGCCAATGCGGTGCTCATTGAAAGTATATCCGACATAGCGAAAGCGAGCTGTCCTTCAATGTTGCGCAAGACTAATTAGGTGTCTCGTGGCTCAGCTCTGACGTGGCACCCGGAATGAGCGTTGACAGGGATCAAGAACCTCGCGGGGATTCCAAGAGCCGCATCGCAGGGACACATACCAAGGGCCCTTGTTTTCCAGTGCTTCACGAGAGTCCGGGTGCGTTAAGAGCCGTATTGTGGTATCCGGCGTAATTGAGGTGACTGGTCAGTGCAAAAGTCATTGCGTAACAGGGGTGGCTAAGTCCAAGGAGCGCGTTTGTAGCCAATCAGGAAGGGACATCCGGCTGATTAATCTATCTTGAAGGGTTTAAGGCCACAAGCCACTACACCGACCAGTCACCTCACTTATGCCGGGTACCACAGTAAGAGGAAAATAAGATCCAGCAGCGGAGGAAGCGTGAGGTTACGTTCGACATCGTGACGCACAGGCCGTAATGTCAGACTCCGCTCCGATAGTGTCCTGCGTAAACACCCATGCACCATAGATGCGATGCCGGGCCGGATCCGAAAATCGAACATGCAATCAGGACGAAAACAATGAAAGCATTGCTGTGTGAATTTTGTATCTCGGGGCCGGGGGCAGAGTATATTTGTGAGAATCGCCCTTTCCGCTTCTCACCAGCAAAACAACAATTGGCTCCCATCCTCTATTCTCACCTATCAGCCTACTTTTGCATTCACACGTTTGCTCCATAAAGTCTCCAAGAAATTCCCTGATCAAAAGCAAAAACACTAATTGAGCTCTTAAAGCAATACCCAAACTCGACTTCCAATCGTGAACTTGCTATCTCACGGCTGAATCCTATCACAATGTCTTCCCCACGCATTGGAATCATCGGTGGTATGTAAACTACGCCGACTGGATCACAAACCCACTAACAATAATTTCCAGCCGGACCTGCTGGTCTGACACTTGCTCGTCTCCTTCAAATCAATGGCATTCCATGCTTCATTTTCGACCTCGAGCAAGATCGGTATGCTCGTGACCAAGGCGGTTGCCTTGATCTCCATGAAGGGGCTGCTCAACGCGCTCTGCGAGAATGCGGTCTTTACGATCAGTTCTTGGCTGTAGCCCGCACTGAGGGCGAAGTCCTCAAGATCTACGAGCCGAATGGAACAATCCTCCTTGACGAGGGTTCCGGCTATGGGGAGCGCCGTCCCGACTCCTTCAACGGCCGTCCAGAGGTTGATCGCCAACAACTCAAAGACATGCTCATAGACTCTCTCGCACCTGGAACCCTCAAATATGGTCACAAACTCTTCGCCGTGAAGACAAGCGTAGGAGGAACCAGCCAGAAGTACGACTTGCATTTCGAGCACAGCGTCGAAATTGGCTTTGATCTTGTTGTTGGTGCGGATGGTGCGTGGTCCAAGGTTCGACATCTGCTCACCGACCAGAGGCCCGTTTACTCTGGCATCAATGGTGTCGACGCTAAACTCTGCAGCATCGACAACGTTGATCTGGCGCTAAGCAGGCGCGTCGGACAAGGCATGTGTCTGACGCTCGGATCCAATACTACAGTTTTGTCGCAGCGCAACGGAGACGGCTGTGTTCGATCATACGGATTCATGAGATTACCAGAAGACTGGCAGACGACCTGTGGCATTGACTGGTCCTCGCATGAGACTGCGAAGAAGGAGTTCATTGAAAAGTATTACGATGGCTTCAACGATGATGCGAAAAACCTGATCCTCTTGGCCGATGAGATGGCGCCAAGGCCAATGTATATGTTGCCGCTCGGTCACCGATGGGCCCACCGGCAAGGGTCAGTCAAATTAAGGTTCACAATTACAACTCAGATTACTGACATCCATGCAGATTGACTTTGATCGGGGATGCTGCTCATCTCATGACTCCTTTCGCTGGTGTCGGTGTCAACGTTGCCATGGAAGACGCTCTCTCCCTAGGCCTCAAGCTAAAGCAGTGGAAGAGGGAGGTTTGGGATCAGTCCCCAGAGCAAGGCGTGTCAACTATCATTCAGCCAACTAGTGCTTATGAGCAGGAAATGTTTGCCAGGGCTGAGGCTTACGGAAAGGAAACATGGATGTACCTAAACCTCTTCTTCCATGAGAAGGGTGGACGACCAATGCTTGAGCATTTCGCTAAGGCAAAGGAGCAGGAGCGGGAACAAGCACAGAAGCAGGTGGAAGAGCAAACTAAGAAATTGGTCAAGACGGAAGCATTAACACAAGAGGAGGAGCCATGCTTGACTCAGGTAACGCTGGTTGAGTCCAAAGAGGAGGCTATCGCGCAGTAGTGCATATGGTGTTTGGGCTTCCCATGAGGCTAATATAAAGCTTGCGATATCAGCTATTAATTGGAACCAAATTCAGATAGAGGCAGTCGCTGCACAGACGTTTAATGTCTCTCGAGCTACACTTAGCTGCCGACGCGCTGGCAAGCCTTCCAGACGCAATTGCCAGCCTAATTCGAAGAGGCGTACCAAGCTAGAAAAGGAGGTAACTATTGGGTATATACTCGACCTAGATGAACGCGTATTTGCGCCTACGTACGCAGCTGTACGCAATATGGCCAACAAGCTGCTAGCAGCGCGCGATGCAGGCCAGGTTGGCCATAGGAACTGGGGGTAGGACAATAGAAGCGAAAAAAGCTATGGGTTAAGTCGCCAGCCGAAGCTTCTCCATGGAATGATTTCTTCACATCGTTACAAACTTGAGATTCATTCTTCTAATATTCAAGGTTGACGAAGAAAGAAAATACAACCCTGATGTCTATACCTGATTCCAGGACCAAGCCCGAAACGTATGTTTACGCCTGCTCTTGTTCGCCACCTGAAGACACTCCTTTATTCCTTCGGTACCCCCCCGACGAGACAATGCACAGGATCCGCAAGAAAGAAATAGATCTGAATTTTTCCCAAATCTTCTTCCTCATGAATCCCAACGACGGAAGATTGGCAGCAAAGATGCCTATATTATCTTCCAGCGTCGTCCAAATCACAAGATCAATACCACTCCCTACTCTTCGTCAGAAACCTTCTCTTTTTACTGATTAGAAGAATCTCTTACACGTCTGATCCTGGCTAAACTTCGTAGTGGCGTAATAGACACAGCGCCCGACGGAGCACCCGGTAGTGACCAATCCAAAACCAATGAGAATGGTCGTTGCAATCTTCTGGCTTATCGACATCTGAACCTTCCAGATCAGCATTAGGGGTGTGGATGTGCATATCAGATCGGTGGCTATGGACCACACTAGACGATTCTCAGTACGCAGTCACTCTGCTCGGGCGATGGGGTCAATTGTCAACATACCACCCTGCACGCTCGACGCAACCGCCAGCACCCTTCCACTCCAACACCTCTCTCCCGTTACCGTAATATCCCAACTCGCATAATACGGTCGACAATACGTAAAAAGTATCACCACACATCCGCCGTTAACAATCACCAAGCTTGCTATCAGCGCGAACATACAGTACCTCATCCACTGCTCCTGCGTCAACCGCAGCACCATAAATGCAATTGATATCTTTGTGATGACCGTGCAAAAGATGAAGGGGAAAATGACTAGTTGGGAGAACTTATACGACTGGATGATCTGGTGGGGGGTGAGGTAGACGACGTGGCGGCCGAGGCCGTGATGGAGGAAGAGGGTGTTGAGGATGAGTTGGATGAGGGAGCATATCTATTCAAAGTCAGATATTGAATTGAAAATCAGGATTGGGGTGGTCTATTACGGTTGCTATGATGATGGTTCCGTCGTCACAGCCTGGTTTACGCAAGCGCTTGAAGTTGCAATACATTCGCATGCCAAGGGTAGCAAGAGCGAGCGTAAAGGTTGCCATCATTGTTATTATGGCTTGCGTAGCGATTGATTCGTTTGGCGGCAGTTTGTTGTGATCAATTTTGGAGAGGTCGGGGCCCCGCATTTTTTTCGTCCAAGGGGTTGAGTGGGTGAATGATTGGCTGGAAGGTTGGCTGCAAAATAAGAGATGAACAGAGCAGTGGAGAATCTGACACCTCTAATTTCTGCAGACAGAAGATGCCTGCTTTGCTCGATGGAATAGAATCCAGGGCAACTATACCTCTGCGCCTTGAACAGCTGAACAGTATTCCGAGGGTGTGCCAACAACAAATCTCACTAACGTACGATTTTACCTAGAAACGTTATGTGAAACGTTGCATATAACGTCATCTGATCCCCAACCGGTTAGTGCTATTGCAGTTTCAGCTACCGGATTGAAGGCATGTTACTCGAAAATTTCGGATGGTTAGCGTCAAGGGATAGTCTTCTCTGAGCTTCGTCTTGCTCGTCTTCATCACTTGCAAAAACAGCGCTTCGGCATCGTCCCTCCGGCCTTTGTTTCAGTACGTCGACGCTAGGTTCGCCATGCTGGTCAGCGTGTCAGGATGGTCTGCTTCGAGCTTCATCTTGTGAATCTTCATCACTTGCACAAACAGCGCTTCGGCATCGTCCCACCGGCCTTGGGTTCTGTACGTCAACGCTAGGCTGGCCATACTAGTCAGCGTGTGAGGATGCTCCTCCTCAAGCACCCTCTTTCTCGTCTCCATTCCTTGCAACTCCAGCTCTTCGGCCTCCTTCCACCGACCTTTATTCCAAAACGTCAATATCAGGTTGGCCATGCTGATCAGTGTGTCGGGATGCTCCTCCCCAATCACCCTCTTTCTCGTCTGTATCACTTGCACAAACAGCGCTTCGGCTTCTGTCCACCGAGCCCCAGCAAGAAAAACTGCACCTATCATTGCCGTGCTACTAAGCGTCTCTTCGTGATCTAAGCCTAGTATCTTCCTCCTCGCCTTGGTTAGTGTAGAGGTTGCATAGCCTGTGTATTGCCCATTCTATCCCACCAACACTCACATTACCATTCGTGATGCAATGTTCAAGTCTTGCAGCATGTTGAAGAAGCCGCCGCTAGAGAGCTGTCCAAGTGAGGGTTCCAGATGAGCTAGGCCGCACTAGCAAAGCAGTCGCACTGCCTCGTTGAAACTTAACTCGTCCTTAGTAAGCTTCCGCATTAACTCGTTATCTGTAGAGCGCACATGTTGAACAAGTTCAAACCACACGTCTTGCTTATTACAATAGGCCCATAGCTTAAGCAGTTGCGCAGAAGCCGCGTTCAGTTTGTGTATCCGATCAAAGGTGATCTGCCACGTTGTGTACAGTGCTCGGTTATCATAGGAGCTTAACCTCGGACTCGTCCTCTAGAGTTTTGGCCACGACGCCTATTATATATAGGTAAAGGGGTATCGACATCGATATAGTTTCTTGGCATTTATCTGTACGGTTTCCATAGCCCGTCCACTGCCTACCCAACCCGTAAACCCGGCAACCCGTACGTAGGATTATAAGACTTGGCCCTCCCAAGTTCTAATCTCATGTCGCTAGCACAAGAAAATCGGACAAATCCGGTAGAAAATGCATGCAAACAAAATGCCAAAACGAAAATTGTTGTTGAATCTTAAAAAGATATTGGGCCGATCATATCACCACGCATCTTGCGTTCTTGCTTCAATATCTGGGTGACATTCTTCATGGCCGACTCGTGGAAGCCCTGAATATCTAGACACTAATCAGCGAATACTTGGCTATAATTTGAAGTATAGAATTTTACCATATGCGTCGCCAAAGCAAACGTAGATGCTCCAAAGCATCAATGTCTGCCCATTGATCTCCCTAACATCAACAATATCCCAGCTTCCAGCCAATAGGCCCTGAGTGCCATCCGTTTTGTTGTAAGTGAGCGGTGCATCCGCCATCTGGAACTTCATGTAATACCCAACATTGGTTCTTCCGCGGGTGGTGCGAGGCTCGAACTTGGTCAACTGTTCGGTGATGAGATATTCGCTACTTCCACCGGGAAGACCAGCGTAGAGGAATCGCTTGGCACCAGGCGTTGTGCTTGAGCCGGTGACATGGTCCGGGCTGGTTCCAAACCATGCGGTGTTTAGGAATTGCCCGGTGACTCGAGTGATTTCTTTAGCAGCTACCGGATAGATGGCATAGCTGCTGGATGCTTGGAAGAATGAACCAGCTGGGCATATACAGGCTTGTGGCTCGGGGCCACATGTTGGTATATCGGCTGTTGAGCGTTGCTGGATGCTCATTGGGAAAGAGAGAGCTGACATAGTCAAAGAGGCAACAACGAAGAAGGTGCTTTGAATCATTTTGGATAGTCGGGGTCTGAATTGAAATGTTGCAGTATTTCAAGTGTGGAGATTTTGAAGTCAAGATTTGAGCGCCAGTTACAACTTTAAGACAAGTGATGAGTAAAGAATATATTTTCAGGTGACTGGATCGATTTCTCGTTTTTGATGGTTCGATAACTGATCTCTACAGTCCTTCTTATAGTTCACAATGCCTTACTATAGTCCTTTGCGATCCAAGGGTCTCCTTCACTTGAAGCTGAAGTCTGCTGCATCTGCTATTCGGATGGTCCGCAGTTTCCTCGTGCGTCCGTATAACGTTGCCATCTCCGGAGTTGATGCTGCTGGAGATAGGGCTGGACATGGCGTTGGAGGTGGCGTTCCTAAAAGCTGGACCCGATGCTTGTTACACAGGGATCAACGCGCGGAAAGTGAGACCCTTTAGCAGCTCTGAGGCTGTCTTGTTCCTACACCGCCACGCGCCACGGAAATTCACTAATCCTTGCTGATGCAGGCCGTGCAATAAAAGATTGCTAGTGACGGTATACGAAGCAACAAACGAGGAAGACAATGCGAATGTCTGTAAATAGACTATGCTTATTCCTGCGCGAATCGTTGGCACGGAACCTAAGGCTCCAAGCCCGGTTAGCCAGCACATGCATGCCAAGATCTTCTAGAAGCCCGATAGAAGGATGACATGCATCGCACCTCAGCGACCACGAGGGAAGCCTGAACAAGTCCGTAAGCCCGGAAGCTTGTTTCAGACCCAGGCACCGACGCCATAGCCATGTGCGCAAGACACTTCAGCGAATCGATCTGTGCTGAAAACCACTCCGGCAGTACGAGGAATGCCTACCTGTGCGCGTTTCGGATCCGAAAGTTTAACAATTGTACTACGAGGTTTGTTTGTTTGCAGGCTACAGTGTGTGGCGATATGGTGAACAAGGCTCTAAAGAAGAAAGCATATCGATAAAGTCAATGCAATCATATGAGAAAATTTCTTATTGCGTGAAGCAAGAGTCTGTTTTAGATGATATATGAATTACCAAAGTTGAATCATCTCTTTATTGGCTTCCACTTCCAAAACATCTGTTATGGCAACCTTTGATGCAGGCGATGGAAGAGAGTTCATCATTGAGGTCAAAGCTCGGCCATCGCGGCGGCAGGTTCCATCCTCGAATGAACAACCCATTTCAAATCTCCAAGACTTGAACATTACAGTTTCGCCGGCTAGATCTTCGCCATCCGAACCAAGACGAAGCGTGGTATATCTTGATCCTTTAGAAGAAACCGCGAACACGACCAGTCGACCTCAGAATGAAAGAGCATCCAAACGAAGCGCTGCTTATATCGAATCCGAAAATCGGGAGTCACAATTAGATGCAAACAACACGCCCATCCCTCGAAATCTTTCGAGAAGAGACACAACAGAAAGTCGAGCCACCAATCGCATCAGCAAACGAATGAGCCGGGCGAGCGAAACGTTTTACGCAGCGGCAGAGTACAATGGATGGGGAGACCCTCGACAAGGACAAGGGTTCCGCCGACTGGATGCCGTTGATATTGTAGATGAGAATAGCGCCTCACTGCGCCGCCCGTCCTACGTAGAGATGCAAGAACAGCCACAAGATTCAAATGAAGACGAGAAGCGGAAAGCAAAGAGATACAACATAAAGTTCTACCTCATCCTTTTCTCGCTATGTATCACCAGTCTACTGGTCGCACTGGAAGGAACAGTTACATCCACCGCTTTGCCAACTATAGTCCGCGAGCTTGGTGGTGGAGCATCTTACGTCTGGGCTTCATCGGGGTATTTTCTTGCATCGACTGTCTTGCAACCACTGTATGGGCAAATGGCTAACATATTTGGGCGCCGAGTTCTGATTCTCTTCGCCGTGTGCTCCTTCGTTCTCGGAAGCGGGATCTCCGGCGGTGCGCATTCAATGGGTATCCTCATATTTGGACGCGTCATTCAAGGCATCGGCGGTGGAGGAATCAATATGCTCGTCAATCTCATCGTCTGCGACCTTGTGCCTCTTATCGACCGAGGGAAATTCATGGCACTGGTATTTAGCGCGATCTCTGTCGGAACTGGTCTAGGGCCATTCCTCGGCGGTATCATCGTCGAGAGGACAGCATGGCGTTGGGTGTTTTACCTGAATATCCCTATAGGCGGCATCTCCATAGTTCTTCTCTTCTTCTTCCTTCGCGTCAAAACTCCCAAAACGAATTCGACATGGCAAGAGAAACTTGCCCAGATCGATATCGGCGGGAACATCCTCTTCATAACGGGAGTCTCCTTCATTCTCGTCGCTCTCACCTATGCCGGAACATTATGGCCATGGAAAAGCTACAACACTATCGTCACTCTCCTCTTTGGTTTCTCAGGACTTGCTGTATTTCTCTTCTATGAAGAAAGCAGCTATTGCATACATCCAACAATGCCACTCCGACTTTTCCGGAACCGAACTTCGGCTGGAGCCTTCGCTATCACATTCATTCACTCCCTTCTTACCCTTCTGGTCATCTACTTCCTCCCCGTCTATCTACAAGCTGTATTGCTATCTACTCCAACAAGATCCGGTGTTCAAATGCTACCTACAGTCATTGTTCTTGTCCCATTCTCCGCAATTTCTGGAGCAGTGCTTTCAAAGATCGGGCGCTACAAGCCCCTACACATCGCCGGCTTTGGAATTATCACAGTTGGTCTGGGCTTTTTCATCACTCTAAATCACAAAAGTCCACCAGTCGCATGGATAATGGTTCAGATGGTAGTCGCCGTTGGTTCAGGGTGCGCACTGCCCTATATCCCCATCATCCTATAGCACAAGGTACTAACAGTCCCTACAGCTTTAGCCTCAGCACTCTCCTTCCAGCCGTACAAGCCGAGCTCTCCGATGCCGACACCGCCGCCGCAACCGCGACATGGGCCTTTGTGCGTCAGTTTGGTGTCGTATGGGGTATATCCGTTCCCGCTGCCATCTTCAATTCCCAGATCACGCATCTCTTACCGCGCATCAGCGACGCCACTGTGCGAGCAGAGCTAAGTGGCGGCGCTGCCTATGACCATGGAATACGCGCATACATCAACGCATTCGAGCAGCCACTGAAGGCACAGATTATTGGCGTGTATTCAGACAGTCTTAAGATTGTTTGGATATTTGCAACAGCGATTGCGGGACTGGGATTCTTACTTGTGTTTTTAGAAAGGGAAACTAAGTTGAGGAGTGAACAGAGCGGGGATTTTGGACTTGATGACGACTAGATTGGTGGTTCTTGCGATAACATTATCTCGCTAATAGAACAATGCATTTATGGTTTCTTATTGGTTAGACACCGAAACTATGGTTCACGTCTTGGGTGACATTACAATGTTGTATATACCTCAAAGGCATCCTCCGATGTCGGGAGGCTCTGTGCCTATACATGTGATTTCACTCCCTGCTACTTATATTGGTCGCCTATGTTTTTGCCTACGCGCCACATCACTGGAAAAGTTAAGTTTGAGTGAGCGAATATGCAAGCACCGTGCCCTACACCTGGTAAATTGTTAGTTCGCCTAGTGCTATAACACGGAGAAATGAAATGAAGTGATGTAACCTCTTGTGTTCAAGTCTGTTTAGTCCATGCGCGAGTCAATATGTAGTATATCGAAGCGAGCTGAGCGTCCGATGCCTACAGTTTTAATTTCATTGCTACTTCAAGCTATGAAACATCCAAGAGCATTTTAGACGATTGTGAGTTACTGACTATGAGAAATGACTTCCATTAATAGCATCTTGTTTCAGTTGTATCTTTCGCATAGCATTAAATGAATTACAATATACGACGTACTTCCTTGCCTAACTTAAAAGGCCATGACCAGCTTCATACTAGTCTCTTAAAACTTACAAACACCGAGTGCTTCTAGAATCCTAATTCCATGCCGACACAGGAGAATCCTTCACCCCAGCACCTACATCAAACCATTCCCAGCCCATGGCACCTCAACGTGCTAACAAGGATAAGTGACATGCAGCGAAATATGCAGTCGCTGCCAGTTAGCCTCCTCATGCCCATTTGCCAATAAGGGCTAAAATCCGAAGAAAACGAAAAACGTCCCGGTGTCACCGAAATCCAAGCTCCATTCCAAGTCCCCTAATACCCGAGACTATAGTGCTTGCTGAGCCTCTTCCTTACAGCTGAGATTTGACGCCTTCTGACTGTACCGTCAGCTGGGAAGGCGCATAGGTAATCTATTCTCTGTAGGTAGTGCAAAGGCCATAGCGTCCTCGTGACACGGACGTGCTTGGGTCATCGGACCCGAGGACACTGAGCATGGGATACAACGCTAAGAATGTGGCGTAGGATCGATGTGAGGGGCCTTGAAATCGGGCCCTTGTTTCATCCGGCGCTGCCACCATGTGCAGCCCCGGATGAGGAATCATTGTTGTAGCTATATCTGAAGCATTGTCTAACTCTCCCGGATCCGATGCAATGGTACTATCTGGGTCTGTAGAGAATGCGCCTACCAAAGCTGAAGACCAAAGAATGTAGACAGCAAAAACATAAGAGACAATCGGAATAAACCATAAGCAGAAAGTACAGAAGAGTTTTCAGAAACACAAGAGACCGACTACACGTGTGTTTTCATCAAAGCCATTTTGAGAGACTATTCCGAACCAAAAATGATCATCTCAACGCTACTTGCACTACAGTGCGCTGGCTCGATATCTATCTTCCTCATTTCCATCTTCCGTAAGCAAGTCGCGAACTTTATTCAACGCGTCATATCCACCGTTCTGAATGCATATCTCGCCCGACGCTACGCCATCAAGAATGTGGATGATCGTAGCAACCTGCCTTCCTGCACATATGAATGGCCCAACGGTCAAGGTATAATCTCGGCTCGAAGGCTCGACAATTCTGATTAATGTTGTGTAGGCGATAAAGCCAAGTTTCTCGAGGGCCACAGGAACAGTGAGCTATGGGAAGCCAAATTCGGCGCCATATATCGCCTCTGGTCTGGAATGACCCCGGAAATGCAAGTACTGGCTGCCGCTACGATAGATTGAAGATGGCTAACCGGTCTGCCAGCGTGGTGACCAAATCCGAACATGTTCGTGCCGTTTTCAAAGACTCCGACAAGCATATGAAAGCCGTGAATAACAACTCGGGACATATGCTAGGCGAGCTCCTAGGACAGTGTGTGGGGCTGATTAGCCAGAACCAGTGGAAGCGTGTCCGCAGCATCATGGATAAGCCATTCCATCGCAGCATGGCAACCACCTATATCCCCACAATCAAGACAAGAACTGATTCATTCTTCCAGGAGCTCTGGAATGATCGTGGCCTCGCTCGTGGATTGCTGGATCCAGCTGAAGATCTCAAGCTTCTGCCATTCCTCGTCGTTGCGGAAGTCATATATGGCCGTTTGACGCCGGATGTTGAGGCTGAGCTTCGCGCTCTCGCTCCGCAGAGAGAATCTCTGATGCGAACCGTTATCAAGGGCGGGCTTACTCGCTTCTACTGGGCTCAGTACCTGCCAACTCAGGCAAATCGCGACCTCGCAGCGTTCCAGAAGCGGTGGCTAGCGTTCAACGAGTTGGCACATAGCCGTGCGGTCGAAGGAAAGCTCAATGCGCCGATCATTGATTTCTTCGCCGCCCGCGATGCCGGAAAAATCACCACAAAGGAGCTCCTCCATACGCTAGACGAAATGCTGTATGCCAACCTCGACGTTACCATTGGGGCCGTGAGCTGGAACGTCGTATTCATCGCAGCCTATCCCGGAATCCAAACTCGACTCCGACAAGAGGTCGCCGAGAAACGTCGAAAGGCGGACGAGATGGGCGTTGAGTTTGAGCCGTACCTTCATGACGGGTCAACGCTCCTGGCCGCTTGCGTCAATGAATCCGCGCGGCTGCGTCCACTTGCAGCATTCTCTGTGCCGCAGGGTATTCCCACCTCGCGAGTCATTGGTGGCTTCAAATTCCCCGCTGGAACCAACTTCGTAGTTGACTCGTACGCATTGAACATCCGAAACCCATTCTGGGGCGAGGATCGTGCCAAATACATCCCCGACAGGTTCTTGGCGCAGGAGAGAACGAATGCGCGATACCATTACTGGAGATTTGGCTTTGGACCTCGGGTTTGCCTTGGTCAGTTCGTAGCGGATGTTCTTATTCGTACGATGCTTCTGCACCTCGTCGACTCATACGATCTAGAGATGACCAAGTCAGAGGCTATGGAGGATTGGCAACGCAATCCGCAGGTTTGGATCAACCACCCAAATATGCGGCTCGTTTGTACAAAGAGAAACAAGTGATGAATTTCAACGTCAAGGGCTACATTCCAGGTACCTATTGCCACATGTTGTCCCAATTCCAGTTGGCATCGATGGTGAAGTCGGGGTCCGTACCAAATCCAAATGCTTCGCCATGGAAATTACTGAATTCGACACCGAGGTCAGATGTAGCGCTGAGGAAGCTGTCTAGCTCCAGAGGTGGGCTAAGGTTGGGAAGAGGATCCGTGGCTGGAGGGGATCTCATAAGCGGGGTGGTGGGCGTTCTTGTTGGCTACATGAGCATGTTAGACTGTATTTGCATTGACCAGCGTTCTGGATACCTACCACTTTCTGCACTGATTTTGGACGTTTCGAAGTCGAGTCAGGAACCGAATGTGCCTTGTTCCCCATTACAACCGAATCCATCAAATTTTCGCGACAGGCTGACAGTGTCCTCTTTGCCATTTCGTACATGACCTGGCTTTTGCCTTGTACAAGTCGCGAAGACCTGACTGATTCGAGCGCAACGGAAAGAAACATCACATCCTTGAGATCGCTGTCTCGCTGTCCGATCCTAGTGGTGAATCGGTCAATAGTATTCTGGATGGCGTTAATCAGCGTAGACTTGTGTTGCTCGCTGATTTGATCCGTGGGGTCCATATTTGTTTGCCGATTCAGTGCTTCAACGTGTTGGCATATGCTCAGCGCGGCCCATAACACGTCGTTCTTGCACGCAACATAGAAGAAGTTCCTGTAGGATGAAGGCATCCTTGGATCATCCTCGAGGTTTCGCGCATCGTAGTAGTCTTGATATGATAAAATGACAAGAGAAGACTCTAGACAAAGCCTTGAGATCTCTGATGAAAAGGGATTGTCTTGTCGTTCGCCTAAGAGAAGTGGTCGGTAGAGGCATAACAGGGGTCGCCGCACATAGAGGTCCGTAAGTATGCGATGCACTAGAGAACCTGCGTCATTCGGCTTCCTGTCGTCATTGTCCAACCGTAGCGGTGCCGGTTTTCGTGATAGCCAGTCTTCTAATTTCTTCGCCTCTCTCATGACTTCCACAACGTCGACCTCGCTGGAGACCTTTTGGAGAAGGGACAGGGCTCTGATTCGCTGTGATAGAGAAGATGCAAGATACACCTGGGCGAGACTATCAGTCATGGTCGACAGAGGCTTCGCAGGAGGCAACCGTGTGCAGTTCTCATCAAAGTCGGCATCATCTAGATTGGACGGCACTAGCGGCGAGAAATCCGCTTCGAGGGATAATATGGGCATCCCAGCATTCATGGAGGCTTGTATGTCCATCTCCATTATCGTCGCCCACAGTCTCCGCCTCATTTCCGCGTAAAAAGGAGTAATCTTGGCCACCTTGGAAGGATCCATATGAAGACCCATAACCATCGCATTCCTGACAAGAGTTCCCGTGGCACTCCAGATCTTTTCTGGGGGCATATTTCGAAGACTCCTAGCTAGAAGCAGTAGTGCTTCGACTTGTATTGTGGCGAATTCATTCCGTCTCTTTCGACCTAACTCGTCGAGCCATGCTTGTATCAGGTCACCAGCGGCGCCTTTAAGGTAAGCTGACGTGTGATCACTTCCGTCATCGGGAGGCGCAAGACGATCTACTGCGTGGGCCATGATCAGCACGACAGTTACCTGCGGTATTGTACTAGAAGTGGTGCAAATTTCTGGGTCGGTGTTCATCCAGATCTGGCTATACCGTTGCATGAAGGTAGGTATATGAAGAATTCGCATTGTCTGTTCGAAGTGGCGCCAGTATACATTCAATAGTCGATCGCATGTCGATTTCGAAGGCAAGAATTCTCTGAGCTTCAAGAGAGCCAGCGAGAAGTCGGTATTTTCTGTGTCGGGAGAAGCGATTTTTGATTTTGATTTCCCCTGAAGGAACTGCACCTGTTTGGCAAGGCCGGTAATTTGTGGGTCCCTTGAGATCTCATTGATAGATTCTTTAGCCTCGGTGAACTTGAGATCATTAGTAACTAACATAGGCCGTCGCGAACAGATATACTTGCCTGGTTGAGAAGCGTTACTCTGTCGTTCTGTCCGTGATATCTAGAGCTTGATCCTTTCACAACGACACTTCCTATCTGGCTAGGATACGCGACGTTTGATACATGGGTTGCATCTCTTGGCGAGGGGCTGTTGTGGTACATTAGTTGTGGAATGTAATAGGGGAAGCAAATAGACGATTCAAATAATGTATCGGGCGATCGACCAAGTCGATCTCAACATGCTCGAAATTGGAGCCAACAATTTTCATACCGGTGTTAACCGGAATTCAGTCGACTTACTTTGTTGCCGCATTCCGTGAGGCAGACGAAACAGACCGTGGAGACACAAGTTCCTCCAATCTCGCAACGCGTTCCCGTAATTCCTCGAAGGCCTGTGGTGTTGGAGTGGCATAGCCGTTAAGTCCTCCGTTGGGCTGAGAGACTGTCTGTTGCTGAAACTGGGGTTGCTGTTGAGTTGGCTGCGGCGCAGAAGTGTTCTGGGTCTTGGTTGACTCCATTGGGAAAAGGGCGTAGGCGCAGTCAGTTTGACAATTTGCCTTGGTGCAATTCTCGCAGGGCGCTTTTCGATCGCATTTAAGTTTTTTGTCTCTGCAGCGGAGGCAGGAGATCACAGGCCGCGGTCGCTTGCGCGAAGGTATGTCATCCATGACGCATAGCCCTATTTGTCAGAAGTTCTTGTTCGCGGGACGTAATGGTTTGCTGGAAGTTGAGTGGTGTTTTGCTCGCAACTGGTTGATGGTGCACTTCAAGAACAAATAAGTCCAGGCTAAGTAGCGGCAAAAGACAGAGTAAAGGCAAAAGATATAGGGGGAGTCTAGCAAGATGGGCGCCGGGAGGCAGAACAAAAGCTATGAAGCCGTGATGATCGCCAAGGGATGAGGCGGTACGGGCCGCTAAAACTCGTAATTCCACTTGCCAAGCCGGGAACTAAGCAGCGAACGAGATGCAAGGGACGAGCACCACAAAACACAGCCCGGGCATCAAATTTTGTGGGCGCCCAAAATTAACCCGGCGCTTCCGTGAAAATGGACTTCAGTACGGCGGACCCGAGGCAGTGAGGGGCCAGCTATATAGCTGGAAGGCACCGCTACACCTCTACGCGAAAACGGCAGGCGGATGTTTTAAGTATCCTCAGCCAACCGCGGCCAACGCCATGTAACTGGACTAACCAACATTGGCATAGCCACTTTCTAGCATCAAGGCGATTATCTTTCACTCATTAGGTTCCATATTTCCGCAACAATAATACGCATTGTGACTTCTTACTCCTAAAGAAAAAGAGTCCCAGTTACCGAAACCGAAAGGAAAAATTGTTGTGTTATACATGGCTCCGATCAATAATGAAGTCCCTCATTCCGCCACCCCTATGTCTTACGTGAGACCATTTGAAAATTCACTTAACCGTGTAGCTTCGCTGCCAGCCAGTCGACCGGACAGGTCCTCGGCACTTTGGTCTCAGCTCTGACCCATGCCTGCACGTCCTCCTCTACCTTCGCGTTGTACAACCACGCGAGCTGACCAGATTCGCCACTCACCCATGTCTGACCTGCCTCAAGCTTTTTGCGCTCGGCCTGGGGAAGCCTTGTATTGTTGAGCTGAAGCGTAAGCTTTATCACCTTGTCAACGCGCTCTTGGCGCATGTGCTTCCAGTATGTGATAGCCTTGTTCAGTGGCATCTTCTCCGACAAGTGAGGTAGCAAGGCTGCGAGCGTGAAGACGTCTTCAAAACCCTGAGACGCACCCTGGCCAGCAGTCGGTGGAATCGCATGAGCGGCATCTCCGAGAATGATAACTCGCTTGCCTGAAGAGAACCAGCGCTCAAGCTTGGGAACGACATAGTATGGCCAAATCGCAAGGCTATCGATAGGGACGTTGTTCAAAGCTGACTTCACGATCTGAGGCCAGTCCTCAATGCCGGTGCGGAAGAGAGCCAAGAGTCGATCTTTGTCTGCAAGCAAGGCATCCCAACCGGCACGGTCCTGCTCCGGATACGCACGCTGAGTGCCAGCAAGGACCTCAGATCCATCGACGTTTTGTGGAGCCATGACAAAGGCACCATTCTTGCCGTGAATGGCAACAGGCATCTCGTATTCAATTCCTTTCGGAATCTCGAGCTTCGAAATGGGGATGGCGCAAGTGATGGCCACTTGGCCCGAGTACTTTGGAACCACGCCAGGGGCAATATACTTCCTTACAGTCGAGTGAATGCCATCGGCACCGATGAGGATATCCGCACTCGCAACGGTCCCGTCCGTGAAGGCGAAGGAGACGCCACTATCGTCCTCGGAAATGATATGACTGAACTTCACTCCATACGTGATTGGGATCTGAAGCTGCTTTGCCATAACACGGAGCTCAGTGAGGAGAGTTTGGCGGTAGACACGAAGTGCCTTGTATCCGTACGTCTTCTCGTCTCCAAGGTAGTAGCGGTCAGTGGTGACCTCCGCCTGATTCTTGTATGCAATGGTCTCGAAGTTGTATCCCTGGGCGCTGAGTCGTCCATAAAGACCAAGAGTATCGAGAATCCTAAGAGCATTCGGAGAGAGCATCAAAGCACCAGAAGATGAAACACTTGGTCGGCGAAGCTCATAAAGGGTGCAGGCGATACCATGGCGATGAAGAGCAAGAGCAAGGGTGAGTCCAGAGAGACCGGCACCAATGATAGCAACACGTTTTGGGGGTGCGGTGAGCATGTTGTCGAGGTGGTGTACAGATATATGTGGTCGGTCGTTGCTTCCACCGGGTGTTGTTCGAGCGCGGAAATAGCAAAGTGAGAGCAGTTTGAGGACAAGCGATCGCTCCAAGCCGAATCAAGCGTAATTGGCTTGCCTGTTATTTGCGTTTGCAGTTCTGTTGATAGTGTTAATGATTATAGTCAGAGTGAGGGAGTCGAGATTGCAGTGGTGAGAGTCTTCAAGACAGGATGGCGGTAGAGTAAGTGTTTGAAGCAGGAGAGAGAAGCTGTAGTGCTCTGTTGATGGGATTGTCTTCAGAGATTGACATTATATTTGTATAGGTAGTTGTTTGCTCTGCCTGTCCTGAAAGGGGAAAGGTCCGGATCCGATACGATAAGGCGCAGCCGTTATGTAGTCGCGCCACAAAACCATGCCACATTCCGGATCCGAGTCTTCGGATCCGAAAGACTTATCCGGACTTACCATTTGGCACACGCTTGATCATACATGAGGCAGCTCCTTGCTCTTCTTCTGGGAAGATCACACCACCAAAACTTTACAGTCTTACAACCAATCTCCGACTCTTTCACTTTACCGTTTTCGCCTTTACTTGGAGATTGACGCCTTGCCAAGGACTCCACAACAGCCTCACCTCCGACACAGTCAATTTTTCAGAATTTCGAAGCAAACTTCAAGATACAAGAGAAAAAGGAACCCTTCCACTCCACATAACTACCTATACCCATTTCCCACGTTCTACATCAAGCATGCAGGTCCTCGTCATTGGAGGTAGCGGCCGCACTGGAAAGCTCGTTATCAACGAGCTCCTAGAACGAGGTATGGACTTCTCCAAAATTGAAAGCAAGAATGCAAGCTAATCCAGCCTAGGCCATAAGGTCACGGCTCTAGCTAGGAACCCGGCCTCGCTCGAGGATCGCCTCAATCTCCAGATTGTACAAGGTTGGTAATCCTACACAACACACGTAAGCAAGCCTACTGACAGTTCTTAGGGACACCCATGAACAAAGATGATGTTCGTGCCGTAGTGAAGGTCGGAAAGCCATCCGTTGTCGTTGTCACGCTGAGCGCGCCGCGAGCTAGCGATAGCCCGTTCGCAGCCGTCGCATCCCCTCCCCGCCTCATGGCAGACTCAAACGCGAATGTCGTTGCTGTCATGAAGGAGTTCAATATTCCGAAGATTGTCATCATGCAGGCATTCGGTGTCGGCGACTCCTGGCCAAACATGCACTGCGTCTTGCGTCTGCTCATGAAGAAGTCCAATATGATCTACCAGTATGATGACCACAACCTTGTCGACCAGGAGGTTCGGGCCAGCGGCGTCAACTATGTTCTGGTTCGACCGTCGAGGCTTGAGGAGGGAGAGGCGAGGCCGGTGAAGGAGTGGCCGGGAGCGGGCAAGGGTGTGCCATTGATGGGTGCTTGTACGCGGGCAACAGCCGCGAAGTTTTTGGTCGACGCAGCTGAGAGCACAACATGGGACAATACGGCTCCTGTCATCACTAGTTAATGCTCTTCCTTGACTTGTACAGATAGGGAGGGCGTACGGACGATGGGCGACGGGAGGTGTCCGGTATCTTCTTGATTGCTCCAGGGTTCTCTTATTTGCAGGCTGGAGTTAATCGGCTAGCATCATACATGGCATAAACTTGCTTCAATTGTCTGCCTACGTGCCTCACCGCGTGTTTGAGTGCTGAACGTGCCAGTAAAGAGAGGTGGACATGTGCCGCCACGATCGTCCTCTTAGCGGCTTGGCGAAGGTAGGGATCAGATCTACACAATAATTGTAGGAAGACACTAGCTACAATACGAGGTAGAGGCGGGCCAAGCTCAGCAAGGCCAAGAGCCATGGCGCCAAACTATTGTATCATGGTTTTGATAGTCTATTCGCACCTCAAGTCCCCTCGTCCCCACTCACAGGACCTTGAGCGCCGCGACAATGAAGCAGACCCACGCCGGGAAATCCGTCGTCAGGGCCCGGATCGAGTTCAATTCCAGCCAGACTTCCATCGAGTGGACCGAATTGCCGCGGGGGACGTTGTTTTTGATGTCGGCGAGGAGTTTCAGCGCACGCTTGGCGTAGATGGCGATGTGCCCGAGGCTGAAGAGGAAGCCGAGCAGGTACCACTTGGTCGCGCTAGCGGCGTAGAGCTGGTCGCGGGCGAGGATCAGGTTGAGCAGCGCTGACAGGTAATTTGCGGGATAGCCAAGCAGGATGACCCAGCGGCCTCGCCGGCCCCAGAGCTGGAACCACGAGTGGAGGTTGACGTTTGCTTGCTCGCGGTATGAAGGGCGGGTCCAGGTACCAAGGAAGATGTGCTCATCGACGCCGAACATGAGGGTGACGGTCGACGAGAGCACGGGGAAGAGGCGGACCAAGCGCAGCGCAGCGGTGAAGATGGACATGATTGGGAAGGTGCGATGAGGATGAGGACGAGGATGAGGACCAAAGGAGAAGCTGGCGTTTGTGACTGGCACGGAAGAAAGAGGACGAGGCGGACAGTGAACGATCCAGAAGAAGTGCTAGGCGTAGAACAACAAACGGCAGTGCGGCGCCGGGGAGACGGCTCCAACCTCCCCAACGGCTGCACCGCATACGCCGCCGCGTCGTGTTGCGTCGTTTCGCGTCGATATTGTCAGATCCGAAGGTTCGGCACGAGGGACAAAGTAACGGCAGGCAACAATAGGCGCGACAGCCAACGATGCATCCGAAAACAGGATGAGACAAGGCAAACGAGACCGATGAGACCGACGAGACCGACGAGACAGAGACATTATTATCAGGCGACGCAGGCCGCCGTGTGCAGTGACACCAATACCGTGTATTACCACCTCTAGCTTGTCCAATGATGCCTTTGTCGTCTATATTCCAAACCGCCCCAACGGCTGTACCGCATACTTGCGTCGTTGTCGGATCCGAAGGTTCGGAGGGGGGCAAAATAACGATAGACGGCGGGCAGCAGGCAGCAGGCAGCAGACGCGACAAGCAACGATGCATTCGAAAACAGGGCGAGGCGAGGCAGACGAGACCGAGACATTATTATCAGGCGACGCAGGCCGCCGTGTGCAGTGACACCAATACCGTGTACTCAATGATGGCTTCCTCGTCCATATTGCTCAGAGGGGGGATTCTGCTGGTGCCCGACGGCGGGACGGACGCGGTCGTGGCTATGCGCAAAGATCTGCTCGTCGTCGCAGACCGGATTACTTGCATTAAAGAGGACATCGACCTGGCCAAGTACGAGGCGCTAGACGCGGTCGAGGTCGACTGTTCGGCCAAGATTGTCTCACCTGGCTTCGTCGACACGCACCACCGGGCTCGCGGCGACGCTCGCGTCAGGGGTGCGATCCGTCTTTTGCTACACACCCACACCGCTCATCGAGAGCTGGACTCGGTGTCTCGGCCTGGTGCCGGCCATCCTTCAGCCGTGGCATCTGCCGCAGCTCATGCGCTTCAGCTCGCTGCTGACCGACCACGCCCGCGTCGCGCTGGGCTTCGCCTTCGACGGCTTCGCCTTTCTGTCCGCGCCCTCCACGCGCGCCCTCTTCGACGCGGTGCGCGCGGCCGGCGTGCGATGCATCACGTCGCACGCGTTTGGCAACCCTCTGCTGGGCACCGGGGCGGGCGGCCGTGAGTGCCCTGGAGGCGGCGGGGGTGCTGGGCCCTGACGTCATCGTCTCGCACGCAACGGGCTCGATCCGCACTCTGGGCTGCGACTCCAACAGCGTCGCCGGCAGCAACATGCTCGAGCAGATGCGATTGGCCTTGCTCATGACCCGCGCCCAGAGCACCCAGACCCTCGTCGCCAGCAAAAAGTTCCCCCGCGCCATGAGCCCCACCGTCCAGCACGTCTTTCGGCTCGTCACCACCCATGCTGCCCGTGCCGTGGGCAAGGCCAATGACATTGGCAGCCTCCGAGTAGGCTTCAAGGCCGACATTGTCACGTGGGACTGCCAGTCCCCCTCCATGGCTTGCGCCCCTGCCCACGATCCCCTGGCCGCTCTCGTCTGCGCATCCTTACGAGCTTGCATTGATGAGACCTTGCACCAGCGGGACCGAACGAGCTCCCAAGAGAGGTGTTACCGGGTGGTGCGACGAAAGGAGATCACTAATTTAGTCAACCAACAGGCAAAATATATTTCAGCTCCAATGTTAAAAGTAACCCACGGCCAGATAGAGATAATCTTGGTAATATGAGATGCTACATTTTCCTCAATTCTTCCTCGATCTTCGCCCAGGCTGGTCGTAACAGGATTCCGGTGATCCATTGATTGCCACCATGATCTTGACCTAATACCATGATGAAATTCCGTGCTGCTGGGTTTGGTTTCATGGCTGCGGCATGATGGTACACAAAAGTGCCAGGTGGATTGATTCGAGAAGGTCCGTGGTCCCCCACTTTGAGAACTGCATCACCAAAGTCCACTGCATGGATCAGGTCGGCTCGAGACCAGTTGGTAAAGGGCATGAGCAATGCGTCAGGGTCTCCGCATATCATCGAAACAGGATCAACGCGCCCCGGCGGTTGCTTTCGTAGCTCACGGAGGTTCGCGAGTATCTGAGCTTCAGTAGCTTGTTTTCGCAGATGTTGTCGATTCAGCCGTGCGATTGGGCCCAAAGGTCCGATCGCAATCGAATGCTCCACAAATGTGAAAGCAGCCACGACCATATTCTGGACAAAGATGCCTGGCGCATCAACAAGTGAACGAAGTCGAAAACGGGCATTAAGTGCGTGTACTGCAGTTATCGACCGAGGTTTTGGCAAAGCCGAAGCTACTGCTCGTATCGTCCACGCTGTCAGTACATCATTTTCGCTGACTTCCTCTTCTCCAGGAAGCTGTCTCTGAGCCTCGAGTCGTAAATTGGCAACTGCGCGCTTGGGTAGAAAAATTGTCCGAGTCTCTGCGCTCTTGTACCAGCAAAGGTCCCAAACAAGGTTCAACAAAACCTTCACTAACGCCCATGTCTTCATGATTTGAGGCTTTAGGACGTAATCCTCCTCTAATTTTCCAGATTTATCGGCGGCTTTGATTAAGAAATCTTCTCTAGCACCAAGCATGGGTGGTACTTCAGACATCCTTCCTGCCAGCACAAGAGACCACGCGCGCAGTAATGCCTGCTGACCCATGACGTCCATCAATGTGTGTGGCCAAGCAATTCCAACGAGTGTAGCATTTTGGAAGGATGTGACACGAAGCGATATCATCGGTATGTCTCCCGCAAGGTAGTTGTCGAGAGTCTCTGGTGCACCTGGCGGAGCTGCGAACTCTCGAAATTCTTCCGGGGCTGGGTGCAGATGTGGCTTTTCGGAAGCTGCAGGCAGTCGTGCTGCAAGAGGATGATCCTCTATAGCCATGTTGTATGTCTGACTTGTGAATGATAAAGGCGGACGCTCGGCTGTATAAGTACGTGGCGTATAGATTTCGAGCTGCCCTTGTCCCTGGGGTTCAACAGTGAGGATAATTTTTCGAGATGTGGCGGCTCCAGACACCTACTTTGATTTTCTGTCTGAGGCGGCCTCCAGCTTTTCTCCAGTCCCCGATTTCCAGAAGCTTGGCAAGCGATTTGTGGAGTTTGTCTTTGTCCAATACATCATTGAAGCGCATCGTCCAAGATGTTACGATTACTTCGTTTCTCCCTGGGTCGTCAAAAGTGTGTACTGGATAAATCTCATCGTCATCTTTCGCTAATCGTGAAATTCTAATAGAAGGCTCTGTGGGTGATGTTCCAAGAATGTACTGTAAGAAAGTCATGTCGGAAACTATACGTTTAAGGTCCGCAAAGCTCGAGAATTGCGTTCATCGTTCCGGGATCTCCGAACGCTATATAGTTACTTGAGCGAACAGGCGGCTTGGTGGTGCTGGAGCAGTCCAAATTCCTAGCAATTTTGGGAAAGGAATGCAAGAATTCACCCACTCCTCTTGGCATAGGCGAGGAATGTATATGAGATGTAACCTCAAACATAGGAGGAATCGATTGAAGCAAATGACGGTTCGAATCGAGTGCAACTTTGTTTTCCAATCCAAGCCCCAGCGTCGCTGATAGTAAGGAAATCTGCAAACAAACAGCTCACTCATAGTCAGGTGTCGAAGACACGGGTCATATGCTAGGTGCTAAATCATCAGGCAGGACTTAATACTGACAAAGCCGCTACATCCGCGTTCCTAAGTCGTGGGATGCCGACAACTGTCTGGAGCAGAGTAGATCTACCGACGGAGATGAGTCAATTGCTCAGACAGCCCATGCCGAAACTCCTTGTAGACCCGATATAGCTCTCAACGCCAACTGGATGTGGCGCACTAGATGGGATGAGATATTTGCTGGTGCAGATCGGAAACTCCTTGTACAGCTCGCCTAGATGCCATGGGGTACAGAGAAGGACACTCTTCGCCATACCGATGTTTCGATCCGGGATTTGCCCCGCAGCTTGTACCCATACCATGCCTAAAAAGCACTGCTTGAGCTGTTCAGTTTCAAAGCAACCACGGAAAAATATAGGATGCAATTCAAAATGGCTTTTTGCTTTTGTGTATACTTCTAGAGACTGGATACAGCTGCGAGACAGAATGTTCTGCGGAGGCTCTGACAGACGCACAGAATCAGTCACTAAGGGAAACTTGGTGCGATGACACATTATGGTTATTGATACCCGAGGTCCAGAGGAAATAGTCACCTAGAAATGAAGCCGATTCAGAGCCTACTCCCCCACTCGACTCTAGATAGGTATCTGAAGATAATATTGACAACATCAGATCGACATACACAGACAACAGTGACGAAGAGCCAGATGTTTAAGAAGTAGCAACCCAGATATCGCGAGAATTCTGAGATTTAAGTAATAAAGATATACCGAATGTTCCCCCGTCGGATCGCTCGCCCAAATCAATGTTAGGTCAGCAACTTATCCCTTATACCTGTACTTCCCCACGAGGCAAATAATACTTGAAGTCTGTATAACAAGCGCAGAGTGGCCTGGCGCACTGGAAGACCCGCTTCCACACTTTGTAAAGCTCCCGTCCGCCAAGGAATAGAAAAACGGGAAGCCATCATCCACCCTACTTGGATACTCCAGCAGCATTATAGAAATAATTCAAGGCTGGTCCACCTTTGAAAGCTCAAATAACTATACGTAAAGAATTGCTAGCTCTAATCTAGTGCATTCGAACGATCATTCTCGAAGCTGGCCTTCTTCGATTCGCACTTAGTGGTGTCAGATAATCGCGTGATGAGAATCGTCAAGTATCTGATGAAAAAGTGATGATTGATTGATTGAAGTAAGTGGTGATCGTTTCTACAGATTTTCTTGTTTTTCTTGTTTAATGCCTTCCAAGCAAGGGAGAAACCGTTTTAGGAATAGGTACAGGTGCGCCAGCCACCTCGCAGATGACCATGTAATCGGACAAGTGGATGAACAGGTATCTCAGCTAATTTACTTTTCGAGAGGAACAACTCTCAGCAGCTGCATTAGTAGCTATTGTAGAGTTTTAGCTACAGAAATAGTGGCTCTACGGACAATGGCATTAGAACTTAGTAGGTCTTAAGATTAAGAAGGTTATGTTTCTCTTAAAGGCGCTTAGCAGATGTAATAGCTAGTTCTTACGCCTAGTTCGTAAAATTAAGGCTAGCATCATATTAACCCTTACAGGTGCGTTCTCTCTTAATACATCTAGTAAGATGAAGAGGTATAATAGCGTAGGCGCTACGTATACATACTAGAACCTAATATTAAATGTAGTATGCGAAAGGATCTATTTTTAAAAAGGAGTTAAGGTGTTAGGATCCAACAGGCTCGTAAGCTACTTATGATGAAACACAGGCCGAGGGCCCCACTAAGGCTTAGGTAATGTCCCACGGTGTCCCATACGCCAAGCCATGGAACACTTGAATCACGTGACTTATTACGTGACTACACCATGGGATCCCACACGTCTCCCGCATGGGATCTCATGGGACTATGGGATTTCATGGGATTTTTATGTATATAGAAACTCGATTATGATTTCTTATACTCGTGTTCAACCTATTTATCAATCTATCGTTTGGATTACACTTAGGCCATATTGTTGACTCGTTATACTTCGCATGATACTACCGTATCAACAAGACCCCTTCCCTTCGTTCAGTTGTCTTATTCGAGAACCAACTCTAAACCTTCAGGACTAGCTACCCTTCTGGATTGAACAAAAGGGAAGGTCTATAATAGTAAAGGTTAGAAATAGAGTTAGGTTACTATTAAGACATTCATAATACGTGAAGAGGCTACGTAGTTATAATAATAGACATGACTGATATATAGGGCCTCTAACATGCATTTAGGCCTTTGGATCTATTTTACGCTTACGTACGTAACCTCCAATAATTAGGTCACTAGCAAGAGACCTGGACTTGTGATGAGGCGAGACTAGACATGGGTTATCGAGGTGAGGTCGTCGCTCATTAGTCGATAAACCAAGTCAGTGTTGACCTGATTTCAGCATGTATCGTAGGGGTGGTTGAAGGTAACGCGACGCGAAAAGTTGGTGGGTTTGCTTGCCTGCGTGGCTTGCTTGCCGGGCACGCTCGACGTTTTCTAGAAATTCATACTGCCTAGCTATAATCGCAAGTAGTGTCGCAAATCTAATTATAAAGAGTTGAAACGATCGACTTGAAGCGGATGACATGACGCCAAAATTCCATGCAAAAATTCAACAACGAATGGCTCAAGATTAACGACAAGCTGGTAAGATGAGCATGGAGGACAGGATATTTGTCTGAATGATGTTGTGCATTCAGGGACGGCGTGAACGAGGGACCTGAGGTGTTTCTATCCATTCTGCTCAACGTTAAGTTTTAACACAAAACGTTCCCGCTGATCTCGTCGCCTGCATGAGGTTCCATCACTCCCTCGTCAGCCTTGGCAAAGCTCTGCGAGCCAACGTAAGAAATAACCTTAAGTCTGTGCAGGTAAATGTTGCGGAGATCAACACGCCTCTTTGTCTCGCTAACGTTGTGACCAGTGATCAGGATCAGGGTGAAGAAGGACTCGATAACGCTAGGAGGGATGTTGCAGAGAAGCTGTCCAGTCTCACTCCATCGCAATGCCGAAGCAGCCGCGATAAGTGCAAAGATCAAAATCACTCCCGAGACAACCGACCACTGGTGGGAACAAAAGTACCCTACGCGTAGAGATATGCGGTACGATAGCGATTGAGCCATGTCGCGTTCTTCTTCGGGCGTTCCGACCCCGATTGCAGAGAGAGTCTGAAGATCTTCGTAGTTGACTTGAATAAATTGCTCGTCTTGGTAGTCTCCCAAGACTTGGCAGACGTTGCGCAGGACGAAGCCATCATTTAAGCCCACCAGCCCAGCATATGTACCAATTAGGAGCCACCAACTGGAGTTGAAGTGCAACGGAGGACCGCACGCGACCCAAATGAGGATGACAATGATGAGAAATGCCACCCCTGCAAGGGTGCCTACCAAGTCGGCGTAGTAGTCGATTGCGCGCTGGACCTTGCTTCGCTTTCGCTCCGGCATCACTATCACAGAGTTTTCGGTTCGATCGCCGGTTAAGTTGCGGAGTCTGAGCTCAAGTGCGGAGTCAGCCTTCCAGATCGCTTTGAGACATTCGGCCATGTAACGACTATGTCGCTCCCGAACATTGGCGAGGAACGCCAACAAGAGGACCATGAGCGCTGAAGTCGCAGAGTTGATATACAACTGCCAAGTGTTCGACCATTCGCAGTACTTCCCAAAACCCAGCCATATAAATATGCAACCCCAGAAGCCAACGGCAGTGCCGATGTGTCCAAGGAACGATGATATGAAGCCCGAGACCTTTGTCAACCAGTTCTCTTGGGGAAGCCGGTCCACAAAATCGTTCTGCTGAAGTGTCTGGAATTTGGCTGTGTCGATCTTCGTGAACTTTCCAGTAGCAATGAGGTGCTCGATCATACGTTTGTGACTGCTAATGCGAGATCGCAGACAGCCCGCCACCATAATCAGATTGTCGTGTTGATTGAACTGTTGCCGCATGAGAAACGCGTCGAAAACCAGGTTAATAATCGCCTGGGCATCGGAGATAATTATTTTGTACGTATTAGCCGTTCCATAGTGAATACCCAAGAATGCCCATGTAAACAGTCCCACAAGGACAATGACGTAGGTATACTCCGACCCAGAAATTTCAACAACGCGGTCCAACCAGCGATCGAGAAGTCTCGGCTTTACAAGGGCCGCGTAAGTATCGGTATTTTCCACGGACACATGGCTGCTCTTCTCGGGGTTCGCAGATTTCGCTTCTGCGTCGTCCACAATATGACTCGGCGCAGAGAATTGGAGCTCATTACGAGCGCCAGGGCTCCGAAGCCAATCGAAGATTTGGCTCAACATGGTGGACAGAACGGGCCAAAGCAACGTCCAGTATATAGCGTATAATCTAAGACCAGGTTAGAGCTGCTCCGCCGAGGCCAGTTGTCGAATCTACCTGGCGTCCTAAGGTGGGTGTGTGAGGTTTGGACCCTCGCCTGAGAACAGGCTATGGTCGATAAAGGATAATGTAGATATGAAGGTAGCCAGCTTTGTGAATCGGTGTACCGCAGCCTTGCGATACTAGAAGAAGATTATCCAGGTAGTTAAGAAAGTTGTGGAATATGTGAAGAGAAAACAGAACAAGGAGTAAGCACCTAAGAAAAAAAGAAAGGGAAAAAATCCCGCATCGCACTCCGCGGAAAGTCGATAGCCAGTAGGGGATGAGCACTACTACCGCGCCTCGTGATTGGCCCAAACTATAACGCTAGTAAAACCCCCAATACTAGTGTTAAATCGTGCCATCGCCCATCTCTAACCTAGGGCGTTCATTCTAGTAAGAGCTAACTAGAATTTTATAGCTAGTGTTAGGATCTAGACCTAGGATGGGATTAGAATATCATTT